GTTAAGAAGGCATTATGAAAGTGGGATCATGAAGGCCACATCCGTAACTACATGTCAAGTTAGCTCTTTCAGCCACATAACCCTCATGCAAGGGATAAAAGAATTGAGAATATCTTAAATCAAAAGCAAGGATTGTAAAATCCTACTAAAAAAGTCAGTGGTGACAATATTTAATTGTTCCATATCGATAAAACCATCTACTTGCTTGAACTAGTACGGACGTTTCAAGCTGAAATGCTTGTACTATATGATTTTATAAACACTAACTAAAAATAGCCTGGTGTTTCACAATTGTGATTGCATTTTCCTGTATAGGAGCCATCGAGCAACTACAGGCGAGCCCTAGATTGTATATTACCCTACAAAAGAGCCATAGGAATTAGTCCTCCTTGCCTTGTTCTATCCCATCTCTAGGTAGGATAAAACTACCTTGGAAAACGCCACTTTGAAGCTTTATCGTGTGACCGCTCATAAAATCTTATCTATATACATTTTGTTAGAAGCGTCATTTAATAATCACGTCATAGTAGAAGCTTAACTTTCATTAGGGCTACTTTTCTCATATAAGAAGACTTGTGGCTTGGAGAGTGTATCTAGTGTAGAGACAAGGTCATCTATGAAGAGAAAACCTTTGATCCCTTGTCTACAAATTTTCATAGGGACATTATTGCTATTCAATTAAGTCTGCAAGAGGGTCTCTTTGAAAAAACAAAAGGATTGATCCATGCTATGCATGTCGTAATCACCTACTATATTCATCTAAAGGAGTGAGTAAGCACCATTACTAGGCTCTTACACTAGAAGTCACTCACACTACTTTCACCATATGAATCATCGCAACCTCAAGTTTTGGAAAACTTCATAAACACTATGTGGTACCAAAATCGTGGAGAGTATCACAAGTAGCTCCACTTCAATACCATGATTAACACCACTTACTATAAATTGTAAGAGCATATAACAGAAGGGATAGTTAAGTAAGGGTATACCATACAAGCATTGAAAATTGTCATAGCACTAAAATTTTCTTAGTTAGAGATGAAAATCGATAAAGTATTGGTATCCTAATATCGAATACCAAATAGAGCCCTAAACTCAATCTCATAATTAAATCGGTATCCCAATCTCAATCCCTAAAATTTTGTTCGATGTTTTCTTTCAAAATTACAAATCAAATATAGAAACTCAAATACTAGCTTCACAAATCATCTAAAAAATATAAAAACAAAAAATTGTGTGATGTCAAATTGTCAATACTTGTACAAACAAATAGGGGGAAAATCTCAACTATAATAACAACACTCTAGGAAAATGTTGTGCAAACACATAGCAAACTAAAACAACAAACTGAATCATGGGAAGACTAAGCAATCCATAAACATACTACAAAAACTTGATATAAGATGTTAAATAGTGAGCAAATGAGCTATGTATAATTAAATGACATTTTTTGTGGTGGTTGAGAGTCTTGTAGTAGTGAAGAAAAGAGTCTAGTTGAGAGGGATGAAATACACACTAGCTTATATTTCGGTATTGATCGGTACTCCGATATATACCGATAACAATCCCATAATCTCTATACCGAATAACACTTGAAATTCAATTTCAATCCCAATCCCAATCCTAAAAAATAATACGTGTATTCAATAATACCACATATAAACAAATACGATACGCGATTATAACAAATACCGGTATCAAACTTCCAGCCCTACCCTTACTTACAAGTATAGCTATTAAGTCTAATTGACACATAATCAAGCATTTCACCAACTCTGGCTTCAAAAGCAAGCCAAGAAGATTAGATCATGACACATAATACCTTCTCTAAGTGTAAGCTTAGTATGGAACTCTCCCTTAATTACAAGGTTAGTACCATATTGCCTATGAGATTTGTGTTTCACAACTAGCAAGCCACTCTTACCCTTGGATGCATACCAAGGGATATGCATGTGTTTGACAAATGAAACAAACGCTTAAGCCCCTTAATGTATATGACAACAAGCCAGCATTGTGATAGAGCCCGGATCTACAGGGTCACTGATAGGGATAGATAATTGAGAGGTAATTGAGAATTAGAAATTAGGAGATAATAAGGGATTGAGAGAAATAGACTTAGGGAGGATTTGAGAAGGAACAAGAGAAAGGGGAACGAGGAGAAGAGGAGGAAGAATTCGGCCAACTTATGAATATGAAGGAAGAATACTAGGATTAAGTGAATTATTCATCTGTATTTGCTTTATGAATCCCAAACCACAATTACATAATATCTAGACCTAATAAGCTAACAAATTCCCTTGAAGTACCATAATTAAGTCCTATTACTGAGATACCAAATAACTCCCTAAATTCCTGCAAAAGTGCCCAAACAACATTAAACATAAAAAATAATCCAAATATCCAAAGACCCGATAGAAACCAGGTTTCTACTACATTGCAAGTCTTTTGAGGAAAGAACTACACCTTAAACGACTATACACTTAATCCCACGCCTCATGTACGTATAACTAAACAAGAAAACAACAAATTAACGAAGTCACCTTAGATACCACAATACAGTACAAGTTAGATAGCTCTAGCTCATACTTTGGAAAGAGCTTCACTAACCATTTTCATCACAACTGAAAAGATAGCATTAGGTCGATCCAATGAAAGCAGGCGAGTCAGAGGTATATAACAATGCATTGGCAGTACCACAACAGCTATGTTCCCTGTGTTTAAGGTCTAAGAAATAGGTAATGACGTCGTGCAACATGTAGCACCAAAATGCCATATATTCCCCAGATAAGCAAACAAATATACCAACAGGTGCAATGACTCCACGTTAAATGCTTGCAGAGCATTTGTTGGTTCGTTTGTTCATCTGCTCTCTTTTGGAAATTGCATCAAGAAGTTAGATTATGAGTTTCGGGCCTTTCCTTGACGCTTGCCAGCTTTCTTGCTAACAGTTCTCTGGCACCATATCTGGCGGAGGATGCGCATGTTTCTTTTGTTGTTTAGCTCTTTATTTTAGCTGTTGAGGATGTTTGCTCCATTTGCTGTGGATCGTGTGCATGCTGCTTTGATAAGAACTTTCTAGCTCAACAGAGTATGTCTTATCAGACTTATAGGCCAATAAGCTCCCGTTCAATCTGACGCTAACTGTCACCAGAACTCTTACAGGAAACAGCTAATCTGCTTCTGTATCTACTGTCTGAGTGCATCTCCTTACATTTCTGAAATTTTCCACTATCTTTGGCCCAGTGCACCGTTTGGAGCCTTACTATAGCTATTGATTGATGTGATATACAGTTTAGAGAGAGTCATCCAACGCTACCAGGCTCACAAAGATGCAGACGCTGCAGTTAATGAGCATACAAGCGGGACCGAGGTTTCTTTCCAGACCCCTTTATCTTGTCAGATAGTCAGTATTGAACTCCTAGTTCTAGATGATAATGCTCAACTCCTAGTTCTAGATGATAATCGCTGCCATCAAGTTGAATTTTGGATTAGTCATACTCGGTTGTATTCGGCCGGCCGTATATAGCACTACAGAGTACAGACCTTGGTTTGCTCACTTGAACTTTATCTCCAGCTAGAAAGTTGCAGCATGTCCTAGAAAATTATAAGCGGGAATTATTTGTGCATTTAGCTCCCTGAGAGTGAGCTACTGTATCATTATTGACATGAGAATATAGGTATTTAGCTTGCATGTAATCTTAGTACCCACAGAATAAATCCATCTGGTACCCTAATGCCTCAAATTCTTGACTCACTAAACTGTCAGAAGAGGCGAAATAAACTGACTGGAAAATCTATAGGAAAGATGGATAGGTTTAGGGAGGAGCTTTGTCTCTAGTCAATTGCATTGCAGGGTCTTTTGGCATAGTCTTAAAAGCATGCTACAGAAGCTCACCCCTAGGAACATCAGGAATCTGCTTTTAATCTATCAGACAGGAAAGAAAAAAGAACCATCAAAAGGAAACAGAGACAGAATTGATAGAACAAACAACACTGGCCACATAACTGGCAAACAAGACGGTGCTAAAAAATAGCTTCTTCAGGACATACTTTATTCATCTCCTCGCTGCCCAGCTTTTTATGTTTCCTATTTGATTCATGTGAAAAAGTAGATGATATTTTTTTCAAAGTGTTATGACTGAAATTGTAGCTTCTTCTTCAAGTGCATATCAAATTGGTGGAATACTGGATTACATTTATCAGATTATATGAATTGTAGTTTCTTCTTCAAGTGCATATCTAATTGGTGAAATACTGGATTACATGTATCCCATTATATCAGAAAGAGAGACACTGATGACGAATAGAGAGGGAAGGGAGTTTCTATGGTTTGTAGGTTAAAGTTGCTCGGTTACCTTTTGCTTTACCCAACGATAAATTAGATTCCAAGTCACCTACAAAACCCTTATGAAGCAATGGTCCTCGAGAAAAGAACCATATGCCTGCTTTGGTGCTTACCCAGTGTGGGAGCTACATGTATGTGACCCATGTTAGATTGCATCCCTAATATTTGACGTTAGTTAGGTTAGAAAATGTGAATCATACAATAAATATACATTGGAAATCGACAGGATAGTAGACTGTCAGCTCTTCCTCATCCAAGACCCAGCTCAATTATTTTGTATTTCTAGCCCTCCACCCTAAATCCTGCCTTTGCGCCACTCTGCTTTCCTGCTTGGCTCTCTGGATTCCTTTTCTGCACAAAAGGTGAATCCTTTGGAGGGGGTGGTCCTTTTTCTTTCTTGGCATAGACACCCGAGGGATGCCATTCTGATAAAATTCATGCTGCAGTTATCTTTCTTTCTTTCTATCCGAGATTGAACTATAGTGGACTGGATTTTTCTCTCTCAGTATCGTTGGAGGAATTTAGCTTTCTTATTTACTTTCTATAAGCTGAGTAATGACTCCAAAATTTTAACTCTTAGTAGAACAATAAAGTTGCTGAGAATCAGATATTCTCTACCTGGCTGTACTATTTATAGGTCACTTCGCTGACTGCTGCTTACTATGAAACTCGTTCCTGCTACTCTGAAAAATCATGAAGATCAGGTTTATCAGGATACCAAAAACAAGCCGAAAGCCTCGACTGATTCTTGTGAGGAAAAAAACCGTAGATAGGCCTAATTTCCTTAACTGTTCTGGGTCTATCATGACATGGTAGGAATATCTACGATGCATATAACTCTTCTTCCTAAGTTTCTCAAACTATTCACTTTGTCCAATCCTGCAGAAGCAGCTGCCTGCATGGACGACTCCGGATGCTGGTCCGGACTTGCTGCTGAGTGTTCAGAGGTAACAGACATACCAGACCTAGCTACAGGCCTTCTCCTTGTACTTAACTACAGACTTACAGTCCTCACCTGCAAATTTCTGCAGGCATGTGGAAGCGAAGACTGTGGAGCAGCTGGATTCGGCACAAGTCATGCAACTAGAGAGGAATCTGCAGTCCTTGCTCGGAGAGGCCCAAGTTCGAAAGGTCAGTCTTCAAGCACAACTGTGCCTTCTACAGAGCTTGTGTTAGAATAGGTTCAGAGAGATGATACTTATATTACTCGGTCTAGGTAGGAGCTTTATAGCTATGTTGATGTTGTAGTCAAGTAAGCTCTAGTTCTTAACTGACCAAAACAAAGACACCCTGCTTTAGAGGGGAGTTGCAACATATCCTAGTATGTTCTTCATCTAGTGGTTCATCCTAATTCATAACAATGAAATAGAGGCATCCGTCTCTTCACTGTACCCACTCTGTGACTTCCAGTTATCATATTCGTTTATTCTACCTGTAGATATGTTCAAATATGATTTGAAGCAGAAATTTGACATTATCTTGATGGCTTTCTGCAGACAGAGCTGATGATTGAAGCTGTTACGAGCTTTCAGCAGCAGGTACACATATCCTGTCACGCTTAGTTTTCATAATTTTTTAACTCATTGGCCCCATAGTGCGTTCTCCCTAGTCTCTCTGTGGTGACTAAACCCAGGAAACAACAACCATTACAGTATAAACATAGCTTTTGATTTCTTGCATTAGGAAGAAATTGCTATGAACAGTGACAGGTGAGTTGATGAATGTGGATCTTGTATGACTGACTAGCATAGAGCTGTGAGTACCTATGCGTATGAGAGAAACAAGGCTGGATTTGAGATTTGTAGAGAATAGAAACACCCCTGCTTAGTAGCTGTGGATTCTGAGCCTACCCCATATACCAGGTTTTGGTGTAAGAATGTTTGAATCTAAATACTTGCCATATCTAGTCATTGCCTAGGTTCAGATAGTTTTTTCTCAATCAGCAGCTGCTGGAACCTATCTGCTTGGAAAGAAAGAAAACAGAAAAGAAAGGGAGAGAGGGTTATGAAAGAGAGGTTCCTTTGATTAAGGGAAAGAGCAATTGGGTCATAATTCTTTTGCTTTCTTCACTAGTCCTAAGGAATGATGGTCATAAGGATAATGAATGGAAGTAACAACCAATATGGAAAATGGAGTTGCTGTTAAGGCCAAGTAATTATGAATTCTGCGAGTACTGTTTTATTGGATTTGTTTTTTGTTCATACATGAAGACACAGGGAATAAAACAGGGAAGTTTCAGACTTCTACTTACTGTTGTACTGTGATTTAGGGACTACAAAAGGCATCAGCTTTTGCGAGTGCATGGCTCTTTCTAGAAAATACCTTTGGCCTGAAACAAACAAAACAAGTGAAACTAAACATACGAGAATCTATGTCAGTTAATTTTTAGGTGTAAACACTATGGTTATACCTCAAAAGTGCCATGCCTTCCCATTTTTGTCCCAACTCCAATAAGATTCTCCTCTCTCTCTCTTGCAGGAGATGCCTCTCCCTCCAGAAAGCCTGCTGATGGAAAACGAGGTACAAAGAACAAAAGAGTGAAAACCCACCATTCAATTTTGGAAACTTGCAGTTGCATGCAATCACAATTGCTTGCCTTATTGTTGATATGATTCCCACAGCTCTCGGCCATAACCAACCAGCAGAGCCAGAACCAGAACCAGCAGCACGAGCAGGAATTGGACGCCATTCCAAATCCAAACCAGCAGCAACAACTTTTCCTGATGGGGATGCACCTAAACAACAGCAACAATGGTGGAGATGGAGATTCCAACATCGTCCCAATCCAGCAATTGCAGCATCATCAACAAAACCAGCCTTTTCTCATGGGTATGCATCTGAACCACGACAACCCCTCTACCACAAATCATAACAACACTAACAGCAGTATCAGCAATGGTGGTGCTGGATCAGGTCCTTCTGTTGCCTCTCTGCTCCAGAGGGATGCCTTCCAGAAGGGCATCCTTCATTTCTTCTGACCAGACCAGAAAGAAACTGCATGCAGAGAAAAAAGCATGCATCCACCCATCAGGGGAAAAATGATGCTATTTGTACTACTTTCCTAATAGTTTCCGAGTTTTGTGACACTAGCCCCAGCAGCCCTGCACTGGGGAGTGTTCTACTAGTAAATAAGATGATTTTCTGGGTAAAGATGAGGAAAAATAGCAGCGGTAGCTGCTTGCTGCAATCCATGGTCATATCTAGATGTTATTAGTATTACATGTGTTGGAAAAAGGTCTGCCACGTGTGCCTGACATTGCCACGTCGCATGTCTGAGAAAGTACCACCTTGGAATCGTGGGCTTTCAATTATAGCTATGTACTATTCTAATCTTAATTAATAGCATATAATTATGTGTGCCAGCAGGTGATGTAGGGGGAAAAAATGGGTTTCAGGCGACAAGGTGATAAAAAGGTATTTGACAAATACAAATATGAGTTTTTTTTTTTTTTTTTGTGTGTGGTTTGGAATTAAATTGTCACTTTGTCAAAATTTGTTGGGGAACACTTATGACAATGAAGCTTCAAGGTCTCCAGTAGGAATTTGAGATTAGGGAGCTACTGAGAAAATTCAAAACGTTGTGTTTTGGACCAAAAGGGAATCAACTCACATTCTGTCTAAAATGTTAGATGTTATATTATCTTTTCTCTCGGGTCATGTTCAATGAAGCAACAAAAGAATATCAAAAGCCTAACCACCATCTAGATGTGATCATATTGCAACCCCATTATACAATTATTTTTTTTAAATAATACTTGAGTTCCATTGATAGATGAAAATCAAAGGCTCAAGTGGGTTTACAAAATGGATAAAAAAACCCATCAAGATACATGACAAGCAAAGGAAAACTAATAGGCCAAACATGACTAAGCCCAACTTTACGTTAAGACCCAAACAAACCCTAACAAGCCCACCCCACCCTACAACCATCTCTTCTACTCCACTGTCGCAACCGCACCAAACACATAGATGGGGAATAACTGAAAGAAACCGCCAAGTAGGGCTGTCCATTTGGTTTTGGTTTTTTGGTTTTAACCGAAACCAAACCAATTGGAAAGCTAATGGTTTTGGTTTTTTGGTTTTAAACCAATAAGCAACTTAATGGTTTTGGTTTGGTTAAAACCGAAAAACCAATAGAAACCATTAAGAAACCAATAAGAATAAAATTATTTATCAACAAATATTTTTTTCCTCTTTTTCTTTTGACACACATGCCAACCAATAATTTGTAAAGGCCATTTACCATTATTATGACGTTTATTCAATAAAAAGGAGGGAAATAGGAATAAATATGAGTGTATGAGTACATATTGGTTTTTTGGTTATCCAAACTAAAACCAAAACCATTAGGGCCCTTATTGGTTTTTGACAACCAAGAACCAATAAGGACCTTAATGGTTTTTGTTTTGGTTTTTGGGATTTGGTTTTTGGTTTTTGGTTTTTCATACTTAATGGTTTGGTTAACCAAACCAAACCAAATTGACAGCCCTACCGCCAAGTGAAGATGGACGAGCCCCAACTTTCCAATGGGACAGGATGATGCCCTTATTGCCAGATTTAGTGATCGCGGAAGTAAGAAAAATGATTATTGCATCAAAACGGTAGTCGTTCATTTACACTGTCCAGCTTATATAATACCTACCAAATTACCACATAGTACCTATACAAACTACTATTACAATATCTACCCATAAAACAACAAAATTACACATTTGTTCTATATTCTATCACCCCCCTCAAGCTGGAGCATGTATATCACACATGCCCAGCTTGCCTATCAATTCTACAAACCTATGTATCGGCAGTGATTTGGTAAGAACATCAGCAAGCTGGCTATCAGTGGAAATGTAGAACAACTTGATAAGATGAGCAGCAATCTTTTCCCGAATGAGATGGCAGTCAATCTCGATGTGTTTGGTGCGTTCGTGTGCCACTGGATTTTCTGCAATTCTTATAGCAGAAGTGTTATCACAATATAATGCAAAAGGATCATCAAACTTAACACAAAGATCAGTGAAAAGATAGCTTAACCATTGCAATTCACAAGACAGATCTGCCATCGCTCTATATTCTGCTTCAGCAGAAGAGCGGCTGATCGTGGTTTGTTTCTTTGAACGCCAACTAATCAAAGACTTACCCAGAAAGACGCAGAAACCAGTGGTTGACCTGCGAGTGTCAGGACAACCTGCCCAATCGGAGTCCGAAAAAGCAGACAAACCAAGAGCTGAATCTGATGGGAAAAACAAGCCTTTACCTGGATTACCCCTAATATATCTAACTAACCTATGTGCAGCATTCATGTGTAAATCAGTAGGATTTGCAACAAACTGAGTTAGGTGATGTACAGCATACTGTAAATCTGGTCGTGTAGTGCACAAATACAAAAGTCTACCAATTAATCTTCTGTAAGGAGAAGGATCATAAAGTGGTTCACCAGAGTTTGCGGAATATCGAACATTAGGTTCAGAGGGTGAATCTGCAACCTTTCCAGCAAGAAGTCCAACATCTGCAATAATGTCTAAAGCAAATTTTCTTTGACAAATAGTTAGTCCAGTTGAGTTCCTAGCAATTTCTAAGCCTAGGAAATATCGTAGTGGTCCTAAGTCTTTAATCTTGAAGGCATTATCAAGTTTAGACTTAATTGATTTCATTTCTGAAAGATCATCACCTGTTAATATCACATCATCAACATAAACTAATAAAGCCAAGAATTTGGAACCAGAACGTTTGATAAACAAAGTGTGATCTGCTTTAGATTGAGTAAAACCATTAGTTAATAAAAACTCAGTGAGTTTGGAATTCCACTGTCGACTTGCCTGTTTTAGGCCATATAATGATTTAGTTAAACGACAAACAGGCCTTTTAATATCAGAAGGGGGGATTAAGCCTTGTGGAATTTTCATATAAACTTCTTCCAACAAATTCCCATGTAAGAAAGCATTATTAACATCTAATTGCTCAATAGCCCAGCCCTTGATAGAAGCTAAAGCTAATAAGGCACGAACAGTTGTCATTTTAGCAACAGGGGAGAAAGTTTCTTAATAATAAATACCCTTTGTTTGTGTATAACCTTTAGCTACTAATCGAGCCTTAAACCTTTCTACTGTCCCATCAGCTTTATATTTAATACGATATACCCACTTAAATCCTATGGCTTTATGAGAAGAAGGCAAAGAAGTGACCTTCCAAGTGTTTGTAGCAGCCAAGGCATCGAGTTCAGCTTGCATAGCTGCCACCCAACGTGGATCTTTGATGGCCTCTTCATAACAAGTCGGCTCAACTTCCTTGGATACACTCATGACAAAATTCTTGTAACCTGCAGCTAATTTGTCATAAGAGAGAACATTGGACAAAGGATATGTAACATTAGAGGATGTAGCCACTGTTGAGTGACAAACAAAATCCTTGAGCTTTGCAGGAGGCTTTGTTTGTCTATGTGGCCTGCCAGCAGGAGCTGGACCATTAATGTTGGGTATTTGTAGAGGAATAGGAACAAGATTATGAACCTGTAACATTCCAGAGGGAGGAACAGAAGTAGATACAGAAGAGTTGGAGGGTTCTATTAGGAGTTCAAGGTTGGGAAGATGAAGTTCAGAATCTGGTGAAGAAGAAGAATGTTTGTAGGGAAAGATGTGTTCATGGAATACAACATCCCTAGATTCAATTTGTCTATGTGTGTTTAAGTCAACAAGTTTGAATCCCTTTGTGCCAAATGGATAACCAAGAAAAACACAAGGAGTAGCCCTAGGTTCAAGCTTAGGCCGATTGTGACTCAAGGTACTTGCATATGCTAGACAACCGAAAACCCTAAGGTAAGCCAGATCAGAAGGAATACCCTGTAGAAGCTCTAATGGAGATTTGTTTTGTGTTAAAGGAGAAGGAATACGATTGATTAGGTGAGTAGCATGAAGAACAGCATGTCCCCAGAATTGAATAGGGAGAGATGCTTGAAACAAAAGAGCCCTAGCAACTATTACTATATGTTGTAATTTCCTTTCTACCCTACCATTCTGTTGAGAAGTTTGAACACAAGAAGTTTGATGTAAAATACCCTTGGAATTGTAGAAAGTGGGAATATTAAATTCCTGAGCATTATCAGTTCTTATTACCTTTACATTCACAGCAAACTGATTAGAAACATATGAACAGAAGTTAATAAGAAGTTCCCTAGCTTCAGATTTGTATTTGAGAAGATAAACCCACGTTACTCTAGTATGATCATCCACAATAGCAAAGAAATAACGATGTCCATCAATAGAAGGGTCCTTGTAAGGCCCCCAAACATCACAGTGAACCAAATCAAAAGGAGCTTTGCTAATGGAATCACTAGAAGCAAACGGTAGACGCTTCTGTTTAGCCAGTGGGCAAACAGAGCAATTTATGTGATCATTAACAGTAATAGGAACAGAATTAGCATGCAAGCCCTTTATTCTAGGAGTAGATGCATGACCTAAACGATAATGCCATAGATCAAACATAGCATGAGATGTGTCATAGGTCACAGACAGCAACCGAGGGATGGCAAGACCAGGCAGAGAGTTGCCAGGTCGAAGGTAGTAAAGGCCAGAGACCTGTTCAGCTATACCAATCGTCTGCATAGCTGACAGCTCCTGGATGAAACAAGCATTATGAATAAATGTCATGGAACAGTTATGATGTGTTGTTAATTTGCTCACAGAAAGCAGATTAAACGTGAAAGATGGTATTAAAAGCACATTAGAAATGATGAGATGATAATTTAAATGCACTGTGCCAATATGAGTGACTTTGGCTTTAGAACCATTTGGTAATGTCACAAAAGAGTTATGCACAACACTGGAAGTTTGAAGCATAGACAATGAACAAGCCACATGGTCAGTAGCCCCAGTATCTACTACCCATTTTTGTTCAAGAGACCTAGATTTGGAACTGTTTGCTACGGATAGAACCACCTTACCTACAACCTCATCATAAGCAGAATGAGAGGCAGACGATGGGGACTGTGTAGTAGCTGCTTCCTCATAGAGAGTCGAGGTGGAAGGATCAGAAGGCTGAGTGCTGGAGACTGCCATCAAGTTGATGGAACCAAGGTTTGTAGGCTGCTGAGGCTGAATGAGCGAGAGGAATGCCTGATATTGTGCCCGAGAGAGAGTGAAACCATCAGCTGGATCCTCAGAGACTCCATCGGTAGGATCCTCAGCACAAACGGCATTGATCGCCTTGCCACGAGCCTTGTATCCAGGCGGATACCCGTTCTTCTTGAAACACTTGTCGATTGTGTGACCAGCAAGCCCACAGAAAGTACAGAGAGGCCTCTTCGATCCATCTCTCTGTTCTCGCCGTTGTTGACCAGATGACGAAGCGCCTTGAGTGAAACCACCTCCTTGAGCAGAGGACGAAGGAGCTGCAAACGCCATAGGAGGCTGAACCATCGGAACCAGAGAAGCTCCATGACGAGACTCACGTTCTTGTTGAACGACCTGAGCGAAGACACGATTGATCGGCGGTAGAGGATCGAGCTGGAGGATCTGCGAC